CATAGGCAGCTGCCTTCTAAGTCAGCATCTTGACCATCATGAAACCTCACAAATCACCAATTTGGGAATCTGTGTGCACCACACAAATATTGGTTATAGTAGTATCTCATGGACCTTTCTTTTTTATCTTTGAGGATACAAAATCGGGCTGTGTGTGGACAGTGTGCACGGACATTAGCGAACTGTGCTGATGTTGAAACCTACGTCACACGAACTGTCTGTGAACAACGAATGTTTACTTTGGGCTTTAACATCGAAGCATGCCAATGATGCCTTAAAATGCTGCTTCTGTTGCCAGTTCACTAGGTTTTGGAACCAAGCAAGTATGTGATATCTGATACAATCAAGATGCATTACGGAACGGGCGATCAAAACATTTTCTTTCCAGCTGTTTGTTATAGTCTATTTATTTATTTTTTTTCAAAATGATAAAAAAAAAAATGTGGGTTTTGTCCCAATGTTCACTGAAAAATATAATGTAGACTTTGACCCAGGCCAAATCTCTGAATGCTCTACTGTATTAAAGCCAAGCATTTTTATAAGCTGCCTTCTAACCATAACAATAGATCACATATCAAAATAAGAGTTTATGCTAGCCATTGCCCTCCTTCAGAATGGTAAACCTGATCACAGCATATGCTGGCACAAGATTCATAACAGTTGCTAGAAATACTAGAAGCAATTAGACAATATAATCCCAAGGCTGAGCGTACACTAGTGATTCCTCTGGCATGACAGCAGTCTTTGTCTGTCAAACCATTGACACATGCTCTAATAATCTGCATTGTATTCCAACTAGTGAAACTAATCATAAAGTGAAACTGAATATATGTATTAAGCCTGAATATTTTTGGCACATCCGCAAGTGATGTTTTCAAATCAGTGTTTGGTGAAAACCACATTCCCCCGTGTCTTCATGTAGCCACAATTTTTTTTTTATTACCATCATAAAGTCTAGTCCACTTTGCAGTTTAGTATGGCCAAGAACCGCCTACTTAGAGAGGAAGTGGCCGTCTGACCGACATGTAAGGGGACCAATCTCCAAGAGAAACTGTTTTTAGTATATTTTTAAGACTTGACGTCCCTTATTATAGTCACATAGGGACTTGTAAACATGATTTTGATTTCCCTGACAGACTAAACCAGTGAATCCTGCACAACGCCAGACAATTAGAAAGCAGCGTGCCATGTGTTTTGGAGCTCTTGCCAAGTTTGCGTGCAGTGTGCATCGAAGGCACATGTGGACCTGCCAACTTATGTTGGTTGTTTTGCAATAATCTTCATTAGACTTAGTATAAACAGCGCAGAACGACACAGACATAGAGCAGAGCTTAAGTGCCCTTTTCAAGACCTCTTCTGTTACGGTGTATAAAAGAGAGAGCGAGTAAGGAGAAAAGAGGAAGAGGCGGGTATTCTTTGTGTGCTCTGAGATGACTTACCACACAGGATGTGGCGGAGAAGGGAAAGGACAACACTGCACTCTTTCATGTCCCATTTCTGAAGTCTGGAACGTGACGGCTTCTTAATTCTGTGCCTATGCAGCTCTTACACTGATCATAGATTAATATGAGCAATGACCGCAGCACTGTTTCTGTCTTATTAAGCACCGTAAGAGCTATGAATATGTAATCCCGCAGGCTAAAAGGACAATGAAAGTTCCATGGGATACAAAATCCCAAGAGCGAGCCTCTGCGGTGATGCTAATATTTCAAATCGAACTTCCTGCCTCTGCTTGAGTGCTGAAATATTGTGAAGTTTATGCAAAGAAAGCGGTTGGCCTGAGACACTTATCGTAGCCACATGGAGTCTGCAGCCAGAAAAAAACATCCTCACGGTGACTCCACAGTCTGCGAAACATGGGAAGGATTCTGGCGTGGTGCTCTTGCTCATCCTGTGTGTACAGTACCACGCTTACAGGAGAGCTAATAATATGCACCCGGGGCCTGCTCAGCACTGAGGAAAGTGCCTGCCAGTGGTTTCGGCTGCTTTGCTCTCAACGCTGCCTGGTTTTAGCCGTCTGTCATATTCTGGGAGTGCTGGGTTCGGCGTATTCAACTGCATTCTGGCTTGGGCAAGAACAGCTCACATGGCAAAACAAAAGGGTATAAATATACCTTCCTGCCACAGCGCCTGCATTCTGTGGAAAATAGCTGAAGGCACGAGAAACCCACGGCAAAACAAGGGTTCTCACGGTATATTAATGACTCTCGAGTGAACGTGGCGTGCTGCGGGATAGCGGTCCCCACGAGGGCAGCCAAGTTCATACGGTTACGAAGTGTGTTCGAGCTTGTCTGGCCTTGCCCTAATTTTGGAAGGGGAATGCAGGTGACCCGATCGTCATCCACAGGAATGCTCGTTGCCAAAACACTGCGAGTGGACGCGAGTTACACAGAAGTCACACAAACTCCAGCATGGTGCTATCTGCAACCAGAGTAATAAATGTGGTTCTGAAAAAACGCTGATAGAATGCTGGAGCATTACAAGTTTCAGCGCTGGAGGCTGGATGAATGGGGGAAAGCCAAGCACATGAACTCTGTTGACATTCATCAATTCAACTTGCATTTTCTCTGAAGCTGCCTAAAATAACTCTTTTAAAAAAGGGTTTTCTGCTGGGATTTGTAATTGCTTGAACATCAAAAGGCACAATCGTTTACAGAGCTCTGTTCTTTTTAACATCGCTTCTGCTTGGCAATAACAAGAGGAATTTCAGTGTGTTTATAAGTTAAGATAAACACTCAGTGACTAATTGATTTTCTTCAGGAATATCATGGATGCTGATCTGAAATGTAGGCGTTATTTGGAAAATCTGTTTTTGGACTGTTAATGTCGAATTCTGTGTGAGTTGTTCAATACGGTATAGATTGTGTAGGAGCAAAAACATCTGTTTTAGCAGTATTAATAAACTTTTCGCTGGTGTCTGAAAAGTTAGTGAGCTGCCTTCTTAGACAGGATAACGTTACTTGGAATGCGCTTGTGATACTTTAGGTCAGTGCTTCTCAAAGTCCGGACCCGCCCCAATTTTACTACTATTACCATCTTGTGCCCTGCAATAATCATTTACTCAAAGTCGCTTTTATGAGATGAAGAATGGGGAAAAAATCGGCCAAACACATATCGGCCAAAAAATCAGCAATCATTTTTTAATGTCTTTTTGGAGATGGTCCGAAATGAAAGCGAAGGCGAGATATTGAAACGTTTCCTTCATGACATTTGTTGTCATGACATCCAGTGAGTGAGCATATGACGTTTGACATTTCACCGCTAATATGAGTGATTTTTTAGTTATTTATTTTTGTTATCACTTAGATTATGGCCATTTGACTTATAGCAGTGTCCAGTGTTTCCCATACAGTGAGTTATTTGTGGCAGCCCGTCACAAAATCAAAACTGACCTCCACAAATAGATTTTCCAATAGGATTCTACTTCGTTGAATAAACAGAGCACTGCACGTTTCTGTTATGAATGTTTATTAAAAACAAGTTTTGTAATAACCAATTGTTCCGGTCCGGACCTTTGACACTGATGAAAATTCAGATTTGGACCTTTGAATGTAGACTTTGAGAACCCCTGCTTTAGGTAGTCAGCTCGTTTGTTTTTTTTTCACTCTACCTGGGTGGCTCAATATGTATGATGACATCCAAAAATGCTCACTAGGCATGGTTCCCAAAAATGTTGTGAAGGACATGGTCCCTAAACCTGCTGCCTACCCAGATAACACATGCACATCTGCAAGATGTCTGTTAAAGATCGCTTGATCTGGAAAGCATCTGCTGTGTACAAACATCTGATAGACATCTTTAAGATGTCAGTTTTACGTTCACTCTAAATTATAAACATCTTAAAGACATTTTCTAAACGTTTATTTGACATCTGATAGGAAATGTCCTATAGATGTATCGCAGATGAGCAAACACTCTAAAAAATACATCTTGCAGATGGAAATGCAGACATCAAATAGACGATATACGTGTGCTATCAGCGTACTGTAGGTAAACAGCTCACTTGGCATGATGCCCAAAACATGCTGTCTAGGTAGGCAGCTCAATATGATGTCCAAAACTGGTGTTTACATAGGCAGCTCACTAAATATGATGCCCAAAAATGGTTGTCTTGGAGAGGCAGCTCACTAGGCACAATTCCCAAAACTGGTGTCTACATCGACACCCTTAATGTCTAGGCGAGCAGCTCACTAGATATGATGCCCAAAATGATTGACTAGGCAGGCAGATCACTAGGTATTAAACCCATAAAGGTTAGGTAGCACATGAGCACATGTTGTCTTGTGTAGGCAGCTCACTAGGCGTTTCACCAAAAATGCTGCCTAGGAAGGCAGCTGACTAGGTATTAGGCCTACACCAAAAATGCTGTCTATGTAGGCGACTCACTGATGTCAAAAACTGGCATCTACATAGGCAGCTCACTAGATTTGATGCCTAAAATGATTGACTAGGTAGGCAGATCACTAGGTATAACACCAATAAATGCTGTCTAGTTAGGTAGCACGAGATTGAGCAGAGCCACAGTCTTGTGTGGTCTCAGTATTACAACAGAAAGGAGCCAACAATATTACATCACTCCAGGAAGTAAGTCATTATCAACACAGTCCCATTACAGTGGGTTTAAAATACAAGTGGTTTATTATTATGCACTGGTCATGTTAATCTTACTGGTTTTAGGAAGCTGTCAGTTTAATCTCATTGCGGTTTGTGAGTTACTTTGTGGCGAGGAAAGATTAATAATAACAAATACCTTGATTTATTCAAAACATTTATAAGTAGAAAGTAAAGGCCAGTGTAGTCCTCATATGGTAATCGCTTTAGATAGCAATATGACTACAGCAACCTGCTCTTGCCTGAACTCACGCAAAAAGAAGTGAAGAAAAGAAAAAAAGGAAACATGAAAAAGCGAGATCATCTGTGTCTATTATCTGATTGGCTGTCTACGAAGCCAAAGCCATTGCCCACCCACGTGTTTATATGAATCGTTGATCATTTGTCGAGTCCTCCCACTGAGAGAGGATCTGTGCCGCGATCGAGCGCTCATGGCAGCTAATGATTATCGCGAGTACCTGCGGAATCATATCGACATGGAAGAGGCTCCGGCGCGCGCTCCGCACACGGGCTCCACGCACAGAGCGCTCATATTCGGCACGCTCGCTGTCATGGGACTGCTGCAGGTCGCGTCGAGTGTGGCGATTTTGTTGCACTTAACCGGTTATCTGCGAGAGGTAAGGAACTCTCAAGGAAGCAAAGACAGGCGGAATGCGCTCGGGGGAAAACAGTTAATAAACTCTTTCATTACAACACTTTTTAAAGGCATTGTCACAATTTAGGTGCATGCATCTTAGTTTTACTTGCGTTTCAGCAGTTTTGAGGCCTGCTTTCGTTTAACCTGCTCTGAACTCTGAATGTCAAGCGTTGCAGGACCGTTCAGAGTGTGTGAGACGCGCCGCGTTTGAACATCAGAAGGAGCGCGCGTTCGAAGAAGCGTCTTGTGCCCACTCAGTGCTTTTTGTGCCGAGTGTGTTTTGAACCTAGCTTCCTAAACCAACTGTTTCTATACTTTACAAGCTGCACGACTGTTGAAGGTAATTAGTGTTTGACTAAAATAATAATAATAATAATAATAATAAGGTATGAATTTGATCTATCCAATTAAGTCGCACATTCACATCTGCTAAATGACTAAATAAATAAAATAAAAAACATTCAACAGATCATTTGACTTGAACTCTGAAATGTAAACGTCGCTCCACTTTGATTCAGATTGGTTGAACTGGTTTATTTAAAAAAGTATATGTGGTAGTGAGTTGAATCTCTGTGTTCTTGCAGGCGACAAGAAACGTGTTAAACGTGTGTACTGCTACTAATATCACTTCACAAATATATTAATGTAAGGCAATTTATGTGTAGATCTCACAGTATTTATTGATTCACAAGCACTTGCTCGCACACGTTACTGTAGTTCAATTTGATGGTTATTAAATGTTTAAATAGTTAGTTTTGCACACAAGTTTTGTTCTGGGAATAACTGTATAATCCAGTTGCTGACGCGGGAAATGTTGGTTTTTGGCAATGTTGATCTTCATGAATGTGTTGTTGCTCCAGCACTGCTTTCCTTTTTCTGCGTTTTCCAGAAATCTGGAGAAAACAGACATTACTCTGTTGTTGAGGGTCTCCCACAAGTGATACAAAGTCATACAGTGTCCATCAAAAGGTTGGACATGACTGTTCATTCTTTTTTGAGTACATTGGAATAATATTAAAGTCACCCGAGCTATAAAAGTGGTCAAAGGTTCTTCTTTGTCTAGACTTTCTAGCTGCATCCTAAGATGCTTTTAAATAATATTGAAGGTAATTTCCTGAATTCAGAAATTGTGATGAATTAAAAAGAGTTATTTTTTCCTCTTTGGGAAGGTTGTTTTTGCTGGTCATGTCAAGTTTGCCCTTTCACCCTTATTCTCCAAAACATTCCCTCTGACTTCATTTGCTCATCTGGTGGTCTGATACTTAAGTGTTTGGTGGAGCTGCAGTGAATGGGATGCTGAGAAACAGCTCTCACGTTGTCATGCCCAGATCTCTCTCCTGTAGTTTGAATGCTGTGGAGAATATTATGACATCTTGTTTTGTGAGGCTTTGGCCCGAACGCAGCAGTGTATGTCGGAGGCTTCTCTCGTGTGCTGGTGGAGGGCCAAAGAAACAGATGCAAGAAAGGGAAAAAGATGAATGTCAGTTGCGTTTGGCTCATGATTCATGTTATCCTCAGAAATGGATGCAGGGACAATCCTCAACATAACCCAAGTACCCAGCCCTATATGATAATGAAATGCATTCGCGAAAAGCTTATTCTCATTCATTTTATAGCACATGCATTTCAAATGCAGTTCAGTGCATCAGAGGAAAGCAGAATAAAATCACACACTGCATGTCTCTCTCATTCTGTCTGTCAGCATTCCATCTGGTGTTACTTTCGGATTTTTGGATTTTGCAGTATATCATATTACCTTGTAACTGAGCACCTGCACTATTCATAGTTTCAGATAGGTGTTTACGCCCTAGTTCTACTGCTTTAAATACTCTCAATCTAAGTTCTGTGAGAACAGTTTATATCATTTCCGAAAATATGGCTGATGTAGTGATAGCAGAAAAACTTGTTTACTTGAAGATACTTGACGAAGACAAGCCCCCTCCTTCATTAGACCCAAATGGAAATAAGTTTTTGCAATTTCTGCACTTATTTTGAGGTTATATCTATGCAATTCTGGGGAATAGATTTTACCATGGTAAAATGTGAGATCTGAGACTCGTATTAGTAAAAAAGATTCAGTCAAAATATGCAATAAACGAAAGCAATAGTTTTTGTAGAATTTTATGAATGGCAACCGTTCCATTTTGCAGCATTCTGCGGGTGCAGATGTGGATCTGCTGCTTATAGTATGTAATCTGAACATAATAAGCACCTCATTTAATCCCCATGTGATGATATTATTCTGTTTTACCACCCATGCTGAAGGATTGCATTGGTCAGGACATGGCTGAAGAGAATAACCAGGATGTTTTACCTTGCTTAACATAATAGTTCTCATCGAATTGGATTTAAATGCACATCTTACATCACTTTTGTTCTCTGAGCATGTCAAGCGGAGTTTAACTTCTTAATGAAACTAAGCCTGCTTTCCCGTTAGTTCATTAAAAGCATGCAGTGTGCAGTGGTACTACCTGCTGGATGCAGTTGTGTAACTGAACTGTGTTTGTTGTGTTTTACAGGTCGACCTTGCCTCAGCCCAGCAGAGTCCTAATGAGGTGAGCTAATAAACTTCAAAAGACGAGTCTGTGTTTCTCATGTTTGTGCATTTTGGCTCAGACGCAGAAACCGCATCAGGTTGCAGTTTCTTGCAGTTTGCAGTTCTTTTCCTCATTTTACACAACACAGTTTGCCTTTAGGAATCTTTGCTGGTTGGGGTGTGATGGTATGCCAAAAAACGGAGACTACTTTGACATTCGTCATTCTTAGCATTATTAACATTTCACGTGCTTATAGCAAGGCATTTCCTTCTGTTAGCACAAACAAGGACATTCTGACACATGTATCAGTGATCTGTAAGTAGTATTTATTGGACAAGCAGAATGTGCTTCTTGCATTAATGGTGCCAATGTCCCATTGTTAAAAATGGGCTCTGCATTGGTATTTTCACTTATTTTGTTTAAAGACAAGAATAAACACGCCACAATACCATGGCTGCTTACAGCATTTCCTTAACCGTTATGATGTAGTCGCTTGTGATAAGGTCAAGTCCCTGGAACTGTTCTTTGTCAGGAGCTTAGTTTGGATATTTAGCCATGTCTCATGGCTACTGGCTCTATAATTACAAAGGACTTGCTTAAACATCTATATATGGTCCGTATGGATTCAGTTCTCCTATGCTCATTGTGCTGTGCTCATATAGTAGAGTGTAATTGTAGGGTTTGGAAAAGGCATTCGGCTGCGGTTAAGAAATGGATTTGTCTCAATATCAGAAGAATCTGGGAAAAGAGATCAGAGGAGAGATAAAGTGTGTTGACTTTAGTTCATACAGGAATTTAAAAGAGTATTTCCTTCTTTGTTTATGTTGTGAGGGCTTGTCGTTATATTATGGTTTTAATGCTATATAAAATGTCTATTCATGATCTTTTTGAAGGTTTCCTTTTTTTCCCCTGACAGCTTGCTTTGCCAGGTCATGAGAAGTGTACTGTTTTTATCATTACCCTGGTGGAACTTATTTCAGAGGAAATGTAAACCTGAAAAAAAGTGTTTAAATATATGTTATGCCATGGCTTTTTAATGTTGCTCAAATGCAATCTAGTTTGAAGCTTGTATCTGCTGGCCTACTTTGCGGTCTACCAAAATTCGTAAGAAGGTCAGAGCACCGAACAACATCCAGAACTCTAATTATTGTGTTTGTTTGCTATTCAATGCTAGTATAGGACAAAAAAACCCTAATATTATCACATTTAGATATTTAGTTCATATTTCATAAATATAGCTTTTACTTATGCCTTAATCTACTACCACTTTTATAAATCTCTTTGTGGTATCATACATAAAATGCTGACATATCCGCGACATGCTCAAGTTGAAGGGAGCGTATTTAAGAATTCAGTGTGTTTCAGATTTGCTGGACTTGCTGGATTGTTGACTCCATTTTAAAGACACCTTGCACGCTAACAGACATTTAATACTTTCTGACATTTCAGTCATACCCGAGCAGGTGAAACTGTAGAGAGGAAACAGCATGACACATTTGTAGCCTGACATTGTTATTGCATCTCTTGCGAATCTTTTTTGACATGGTCTCACCTATCATGCATGGTGTTGAGTTAAAGTCTGTAACTCCTACATCCATCCGTCCTAGTGTAGCTCACAGAGAAATTTGTTTGTAACAAAGCAGCTTGTCACTGCAGAACATTCGCATGCCCAACTGAACCTGAGCGAAATCTGAATCGATAAACCTGAAATTCCCAATCACATGGATTCCAAATGGATTTCACCCATGAAAATTGATCGGAGAACGATATTTATCCCAACCAGCCTGAGGTTACAACATGAGGTTATGGAACTATTGGAGCTATTAGAATAGTCATGTCACTGGTCCAAAATCCCACTCCTCTATGTGAGAGATCTACAATAAACATTAAATGTGACCCTGGATAAAGCTTATTTATTCAGCTATTGCGAAAAATCGACCCTTATGACTGTTTTTGTGGTCCAGGGTCACAAATATCCATTGTTTATTTGTTTTCTTATTGGAGTCTACATGATCATAGGAGTCTGCACAGTGAAGATCATTCAGTAATGTGTTTGGTTGTTCTTTCTCAGGAAATGCACAGTGAAACCTTAATAGCCGATCCAATCAAAAGTTGCAAGGAGAAGAAGGAAAGATTTCGGCAAAAAAAGGACACACGCATGCCGTCAGCTCACCTTCCGATCAAGACGCCGACTAACTTTGCAGCCAGTAAGCATATGCTGTATATTTTAGAATCACGTGGCATGAAATGTTTCCTGAAATGTTAGAGACTTGTGACTTTGACTGGCTTTAGTTTTGTCATGAAAAATATATTCTATTTTATATAACTAAAGAGAACGGAAGTGATCTTGATGTAACATATAACCATATTTATATCAAACTGTGTTTTTTCTGACTGTTGCTTTTGCAGAAGATCGAAATGAATTAACCATAATCACCTGGGATGATTTTCAAGGGCTGAATTTGAAGAAGATGAAATACCATGACGGACGAATTCTAGTGGAGGAAGCTGGCTACTACTATGTATATGCCAAGACCTGCTTTCGATACGCTGAAGAACACGACTCGGGCAAAGAGGACGTCAGCAATGTACAGTTGTTTCAATACATTTATCACGAGAAGCACACGCAGTCGGTAATTACACCTATTCTTCTTACAAAAAGCGGCGGCACGCTGCAGTGGAACATCGCCACGTACAACATGTACTGCGTGGAGCAGGGCCGAGGCATCCAGTTGAATAAGGGCGATGGTATTTTTGTCCGCGTATCCAATGCATGGCTGCTGGACCCAGCAGCTGAAGGCACGTATTTTGGTACTTTTAAGATAAGCGATTGATTTGCATCATTTTTGCTACTGAACATATTTATGCACATTTTGCATTTTTTTTAAGTGATCATGAACCACTGAGCACTTGTTTTTGATCACTGACTTTTGAATTTTTGTTCAGTATAGATTACTTTTAAGAGCACATTATAAGTTTGAACACTTCGCAATTGTGCCATTGAAGCTCTTAAGTACCAGCACTAGAAGACCAAGAATGGACTCAGGCCTCTGTCCGTGTTTTTTATTGTTAAGTACCGATACTGGAAATCAGAGGCGCCACAAAGGGGTGAAGGTTAGGATGATTCCAAGGGCCCTGACCAGAGAGGGTCCCGACGCAATCCCTGGGACGCGATTGCAATTTCAACGAGGGCTGAGGCAAAAACTGTCCAAGGGGTCCAGAAACACTAGCGGCGCCCCTGCTGGTACCCATACTCTCAAAATGCTCCAATACTAACAACCGTGCAGTGAATCACAGCGGTGGAGAGATGCTGGACAGTCCTAGTAAAGAACGCAGTAGACTGTGGCGACCTCCACAACAGAGGAAAAACTTGTGAACTAAGTGCTCAAATTTACGTCGAAACATACTGAATATGAACTTCTGGTTCATTAAAGTATTGTATAATTTGCAGCCTTAGTCGTAGTGACGTATTGTTATCAGTTAGTTCCAGAAAGTAGCTGTGCATCCCTAGTTTTAAGAACTTCATCATTACATCTCATCGACTGGATCGGGATATAAAACAAAACAGAACAAATACCATGAAATGTTTCAATCTAACAAGTATGATTAATTGAACTTTGGAAATTTGATCATGCAGAATCTGTCAAGGACAACTGAATTATGCCCAACAGGTGGATAGACACTTCCTGTCACCCCTCTTATCAAGAATAGGATGTTTTACTGATTGATGAATTTCACTGTTGGACATTTAGAGCTGCCCTTTGTTTTGTTTTGTTTTTAATGGTGTTGACATTTAAATTTCTTGAACAAAACGTATACAAACATTCAATAAAAATCAAGGCAGCTGGACTGTCTTTGACTCGGTGTGAGAAGCGATGTGCAGAACCAAACTGAGTTTGGTACGCTCTAATTTAATTTTTTTTAATGCACTAAAGTGTATTTATTTATTTTCTATGATGATAGAATGTTTGTCAGATGTTCTGTCTGTACAGTGTATATAATTGTATAATTGCCTTTATTCCATTCCTTCAAGAGGTTTTGGATGAAGGGCATTGACTTTAGGTCAGTTATACATGCGCTTTTGTCCCAGGCACAGGGCTCCTGTTTAAAGCAGAAATTGATTAGTTTCTCACTAAGAAACTTTGTATTTAAGTAAAATTCATTTGACAATTCTGTGTGCAAATGTTTGTGGACAGCAGAATATATTGTTCCCAACCCAAAGCAAGCCTAAAAAGGTTTGCAGCCTTAGTCTAATTAGCAAAAGTTTTGTTTTATTATGTTTATTTATACTCAATAAAGATACTTTTCTAAATAAAATACCAATTTGTTAATGAAAAATACTTTTGATAATGTGATGTGAAGTGTTAAACGCTGTTATTTACCATGTTTTCCACCTCCTAGGCATTCTTAGTTTACATATGCGTTGTCTATTTTAATATTACCTCGACAAAGAAAAAGTCCAGGCATTTCCCAGTGTTAACTGGCTCCTCTCTGGATGTGACAGCTAAAGTAAATGTTTGGTCTTTCCTTTCTTTGTGGTATTGTCAAGAAAACGGGTGAATTACGCTAGCTGTGAGGTGGGAACATGGTCGTCCTTAAAATAATATCCACCCATTAGTGGCGGTTGTTTTATCTTCTAATTCACTGCAGATATTTGGACCAAAATTTTGCTTGGACCTCTTCTATGCTGAAAGAATAGAAGTAGGAGAACCAAAACAAAACTGCGTCCCATTGTGTATTTCTCAAGTCTAACTCAAGTTAACATTGATTTGAGAGGAACTGGCAATGCTAGTGCTCATCACTCAACATAGCCAACCACTGAAAGCACTGTGGTCTGTGAAATCCAAGGGTGATGGAAATGGCCACATATGACGCTTGACCTCAATATTGCAATTGTTAAGGGGGGAAAAAATATAAAGATACGTTTGAATTATTCATTACAATGTTTCAAAGACAGTTTCATAACAAAGTTTAAGTAGTTTTTTTTTCTTCATATAATCAGTATTTAAAAAAAAAAATGTTTCGGCAGTAAACAGGTCAATGACAAATTAATATTAGGAGAAAAATTATAATTAGAATGTAATATTTGTATTAAAGGGGTCATATGATGCTTTTTTAAAGATCATTATTTTGTGTATTTGGTGTAACAGAATATGTTGACATGCTTTAATGTTCAAAAAACACATTATTTTTCAAATACTGTACATTATTGTAGGTCCTCTATGTCTCGCCTCCAAGCACTTGTCGGAAATGTAACGCCCCTTACCATAATCGCGAGCTTCATCTTTCAAAATAAATGTAAAGACAGTAAATAATGTTATTAGTTTTACCATCAGTTCAAGCCAGAAAGGGGAACAGAGTCGAGTGACTGACACAATGATGAAGCTGGTATGTGTTTGCAGTACACAAGCCACGGTTAAGACAGCTGACTCTGTGATATGGCCCTCTCTCTCTCTCTCTCTCTCTCTCACACACACGCGTGCACACACACACACACACACACACACGATGCGCAAAACTCCGCATTTGAACAGTCAAAAGCAAATACTTAAACTAATAACAAAACAGTAGCTGATTCAGAAGCGCCAGATTGTCACAGCAAAGTCAGAATTACCTCCTCTCATAGGTTCACGAAACGGTCGTCCATAAAATGCATTGCTGTTCTGTTGTAAGTAATCTTAAAGATTCCTAAATGCATCTACTTTCGGAAGGCCAAATAAAGTGCTTCTGCTTTCGCCTAGAAACACACAGCGTCTCCCTGACATGCTGCTTCAACACTAACTGCGGTTACTGAAACCACGCCTTCTTTCTTTGCGTGCACATTTGGGCGCATTATGCTAATATTCCCACATAGTGAGGTAGATATGTGGGGGCGTGTTAGAACGAGCCGTTTTAGGGGGGCGTGGCAGAGTCTTAACTTTGATAAAGAATATCTCTTTGGTTTTGAGACTTTAGTCTTTGCAACTTCAGGGATCTTATCTATGCACAATCAGCCTGTAACACTCCAAAGAGAAAGGAAAACTTAAAATCGCATCATATGACCCCTTTAAAATAGAAAGGTAAGACACACCAGTTTGCAATATCAAGCAGCAAAACAAGCTGTTTTGTACAGCTAAAAATAGCTGAAGATGAGACCAGAAGCCAGACCCATAAAATTTACAAATGGCCAAGCCCGCTCTGTTACGAGAAAAATAAGGTGCATAGTTTTAAATGGGGGAAAAGGCAATGCTCTATATGGCCAATCTATCGAAGGAAGCCCTGCCTTCCGAGTAAAAGAGCCAGTCACTACTGACCCAGTGCATTGTGATTGGCCGAACACCGCAAGCACTCGTCGGAAATGTAACGCCCCTTACCATAATCGCGAGCTTCATCTTTCAAAATAAATGTAAAGACAGTAAATAATGTTATTAGTTTTACCATCAGTTCAAGCCAGAAAGGGGAACAGAGTCGAGTGACTGACACAATGATGAAGCTGGTATGTGTTTGCAGTACACAAGCCACAGAGCTCACTC